TAGTCGTGCCTGTTTGTTTATCTTCTGTCTTCTTGAATTAGTTAGGTGGTAAATGCTGTGTAGATGATGACAGCTGTAACTCCAGTTCCACCTTAAAAAGCTGGACATGTTGTATCGGCTGCAGGAGGAGGAGGAGGGTGTCCGCCTCTTCCTCCCTCCAGTGGACGAACCTCCCCAGTGAAGCCAGTTCGCGGACTGGATGTGTTGTTGTTGTGTTGTCGGACCAGCTCCACACATGGGTCGTTTATCCCTCTGAGGGATTTGAAAGCGCTGAAACCGAAGCCCTCCAGCTGCGACAGGACTTCACGTTCAACCGGAAACTTTAAGTCGAGTGAGAGCCATTTTGTCTTCTCCTTCTTGAATTACACTCCATGTGTTTGTTGCTGTCAGTACTCTCAAACACGTTTAGGTGTTTGATCAAGTTCAGGTGAGTGTTTCCTCTGTTGATCTCTGAAAGTCAGACGAGCCGCAGGAGCAGAACTTGTCCCAGGTCTGGAAATAGTTTGTTTCTAAAAAGGACTTGTCCCAGCAAGCTGGCAAGTGAAACAGGCTTGGGTGTAAATTTACATGAAGTGAACAAGGTTGTAATTACATAACATTTCAGATGTACTAAAAGAAACGTTGAGCACGTTCTCATTAAATCCAGATTATTTGAGGATTATTTTAAACCCTATGTGCTTTCCTCAGGTCTGATTATGAGTACAACCCAAACTTAGAGAGTTTGACCCATGTTTGAATATTAACTCATTTATCCTTATCTGCTTACATTTAATTATTAACATTTCTTTTATCACCATATATTTTATTTCCCTAGTACTATTGTGAATTACCATAGTATCCCCTACACTGAAAGTACAGTAATTATTTTTTCTGCATTTCCATTCTTTATAGATGTGAGTCATGACACCCGAGGACAAACTTGCAGACCTGACTCTGGACCCCCAGGTGACCCAGGGGGGTTGTGGGGATGTGTACAGAAACCCCACTGAAGTGCAGATGAGTCAGATCGTGCTGCCCTGCCATGCCAATCACTGTGGGGAGCTGAATGTTGGACAGCTGCTGAAGTGGATGGACTCTACAGCCTGTTTATCAGGTGGGGAAACTATTCAGAAATCCTCTCACAGTTACAGATCACATGTTTAAGAAGACATTTTAATTCCCTAAAAAGCTCACTATAAGAAAACTACCTTGAAAAGTCTGATTTATTAGGTTTAAGTCAAATTGTTCAATGCAACACACTGATAAAGCTACTGTTAAAAAGCTTAAAATGACAGAAAGGAAATGCAAAATGACAGATACTAGATGCAACAAGCAGTACACTGATGCCCCTGTCGCTGAGGGATTTGAATAATGAATGTTTGTAATTTTTGAGGTGAGTGTTTTTCCAGTCTGACATTGAACAGGGATCCTGGCGAGTCGAGGGAGCTATTTTATCCGCGACTATGTACAATGGTGGAGCCAGGGGGTGGCCAATGGTGGCCTTGGCCTCTATAGATTAATCTTCGGCCACCCCAATCATTTAAGGAAACTATACTTTTAAGCAATATAAAAACTAGAAACCATATTTTCCTTAAATTATAGGGATGGCTGGTTTATCCCCCCCCCCCCCCCCCACACACACACACACACAAAGACACACATAGTGGTGCTCATCTTTGATTTTGTTTTGTCAACCCAATTTTGAGTTACCTTTTTTACACCTATAGTTGCAGCCACACACACCAAAGTGGAAGTTGTTGCTTATTTTTCAAGTTGTCCAGGTCAAGGTTAACATACTGTATATATGGTGGCAGCCATCTTGGATTTTGATGCGGCAACAATTTAGGGTTTATCTTGTGTTGATTTCTATTTCTGAGCATATTGTGCTTATGAAATGTGCTGCTCAAATAAACTTGACTACTTAATTCCCTGAATTAATCACCTGAGTTACCTGGAATGATAATCTGTGAAAGAGATTGCAAAAATTTTAAATGCTTGCAAAGATTTACAAAAAAAAAATAAATAGATGAAACTGCCTGAAGGCCTTCTCCGAGTCTGTAAGCTGAAAAGCCGAGGTCGTCTTCACCTCGCCTCTGTTTGATAAGTGTGTATTATACAACACTTCCTGCCTCATTGCCCGTTGCAGATTCGCACTGACGAGGCTCTAAGCAAGTGACTTTGTACATCTGTGAAAGCCTTCTCATGACCGTCTATCCATGCAAGTAAAATACTGGTTAAAAATCTTCTCGTGTCCTCAAAGTGGCTTATTTAAGTAAGTAGATGATGAAAGGATATTTATTTATCCAACATTTTGGTCCTTCGAGCCGGATACCTGAATAATTTGCTTTTCCTTCTAACAATGAGCATCACTGATGTAAAGTTCAGTCCTGTTATATAATCTGCTGTTCCAAAGACTCATATAAGTTTCAGGCACATTTTATATTTAAATGTTTTAATAAATCAAGACAATACTTGTCTAAGATATTAGTACTGTGCCGCACAGAATATAAAAAAGCTTTTCTTTAAAATGTTTACACTAAAAGTTTTTTTTTATATTAATTGGTCTACAGAGTATTTTATTTTGAAAATGACCTATTTCGTTTGCACCTTTCCTGCAGTTTATTCAGTTGCAGTTCTTTTTCACAGACAAGCAAACATACAAGTTAATCCCAACAAAATGAAAACATAAAATTAAAAAAACTTTGCTAGAGAACTTTTTGTTTTCTCGACTGTTTTGTGGGAAAGTTGTCTTGTATAAAACAGGTCCATGATGCAAAAAATGTTTGAGACTGCTGCAGTCACATACCAGTACTTGGAAGTCAACAAGATTAGTATTCTTTACTGATTACTTTTTAATATGCACTTCATGGTTGCACTTAATTTCAGATGGGAAGCTTTGCCCAACAAACTCTTTTTACAGATTTGTGTCATCTCCTTCTTTCAGCTGAGAGACATTCAGGTTGTTCCTGTGTCACTGCATCAGTAGACGACATCCACTTTGAACACACTATAGGGTAACGTATTAATGAACGTATTTAACAGGGAATAACCTTAAAGGAGTATTCATTGAACAGATTGTATTGTTCATAACAAGCAAATAAAACTCTTAAAAGTCTATTGTTTGTTAAAGAAGTCATCAGTAAAGATGAATTTTTAATACAGTGTCTATATTATTAGGTGTAGTCTGTTCTGTTTAAAAATGATGGATATTGTGGAGTTTAATCCCAGCTCTGTGCTGATCATGAGAGTGTGTGTCTGTCTGCAGGGTTGGAAACGTTGTCAGCATCATAGCGAAAGTCAACCGAGCCTTCACGTCGAGCATGGAGGTTGATGAATGTCTCTGTGTGGCTTTAGCAGAGCGATTATTATTAATAAAATTAAAAAAAAACTAAGTGAATTTGGTGCTCATTTGAATTTCAGGTGGGCATTCTTGTGACCTGTGAAGACCTTTACGCCGACAGGCAGTGGAAGGTTTGCCATGCCTTTGCCACGTTCGTTTCCAGACGAACTGAAGCTGGGAAGGTAAAACGGCAACAAAATTATCTGTGAGCGCACAAGCTTTTTTTTTTTTAAAGCTGATTCAATGTCGCCTCGCTTTGTGTTTCTGAACACAGGTACAACTCAAGCAGGTTATTCCTCGCACGCAGATGGAGCAGATGGAGTACAGCCTGGCAGCAGAGCGGCGGAGGATGAGGCTCATCCATGCTGAGATTATCACCGACCTGCTGAACAGCAGCACAGCTCAGCTGGGTACAAACAGTGCACTTTCTACAATGCGGCACTTAAAAATCAGATGGATTACAGCTGCTTGTTCTGCCACTTTCATCAGGAGAATGTCAAAAGTACGAGCATGCTGTTCCAGCTGAGCGGACCCGAGTGGAGAGCGTGGAGCTGGTGCTGCCACCCCATGCCAACCATCAGGTCAGCACTTTTGGAGGCCAGATCATGGCTTGGATGGAGAATGTAGCTACAATTGCAGCAAGGTATGAACTTAGCATTATTGTTTTTTTTTTTATTGTTTTCTTGAAATAATAATTAGTCTAGCTTTAAAATGAATCTTTTGACCAGAGGTATAGAGATGTTAGATACAGTTTGTAGAGTATTTTTTACACTTCTGCAAAAAAAACCCACAACATAATCACATTTTTTACAGATAAGTACTACAAGTAAACAAAAATAACCAATCTAAAAAATAAGGCACACCATACTTGTTCATTTATTTATTGAGGATATTGATTTATTGTGTGAATGCTTAAGAAACATTCACTCTTATTTTGATCCATTTTTCTTACGTACATTTTTCAGCATCTTTTTCATTCCACATTTTTTGTGCTATTTTAACAAATCATCTCTCAAAATGTTCAGCTTTTTCAGGACAATCCTGTTATGACTTTTGGTATTGGTGCAACTTTAGCTTTTTGAAATATTTAGCCTTTTCTGACACATTTTCTTATAGAAAATTAATTGAGCTCATTTTACATCCTTCAAATCTTTATATCTGTTTATAACCTTTTACAGCTCCTTTCACATTTAGTTCTGCTTCAGCTTCTTTCAGCTTCCTTGTGCAAATTTACCAGTAAACTTTTTTCAGCTACTTTCAGCTGGGGTTTTTTTCAGCTGTTTTTTGATCCTTTTAGATTTTTTTTTGCTAACTACAATATGTTTGTGCTTCTACCTTCTTTCTGCTAATTTCAGTTTGTTATGCTCCTTTCAGCTTATTTCTGCTAGTTTCAGCTTTTTCTGCTATTTCAACTACTATTTAGTTGTTTTTATACTAATTTCAGCATTTTCAGCTAAATCCACATTTTTTGCACTCATTTCAACTTTTTTCAGCTTAATTCAGCAAAAATGTGCTCTCTCCACTTCCTTTCGGTAATTTCAGTTTTTCTCTGCTTTTTTAGCTGCTATTCAGCTGTCTTTTGCAAATTTCTGCTTTTTTCATATAATATCTACTTTTTTGTGCTCGTTTCTGCTTCTTTAAGCCTAATTGGGCACAATTGTGTTCTCTCCACTTCCTTCTGGTAGTTTTAGCTTCTGTCTGCCTTTTCAGCACTTTTCAGCAATTTTTAGGTAATATGAGCTTATTTTTAGGTAATTTCTTAATTTGTTTGCTTATTTCTGCCATTATTTAAATCTAATTCAGCAAATATGTTTTCTTTCTGCTTTCTTCCACTAATTTAGGCTTGTTCTTTCATTTCAGCTACATTTTAGTATTGTTTTTGTTAATTTCAGCTTTTTTTTGGCAAGTTCTTAAGCAATAAACATTCACACTGCATTTTCGCAGGAAATGCAATTTCTCTAGTTAATACTTATATCTGAGAGGTAAAGTATGCTAAACTTTACATTTGGCATCCAGTGTCTCTGCTTTATACAGAAAAGAAAAAACACATTTAAATGTTTTAAGTAACTAGTGTACATATTTACCTATCAGCTTTAAAAGTTATTAATCTGGGATAATCCTAAATAGGTCAATCGTAACTGGTTCTTCAACAACTTTAATCTAAGATTAAAGTTGGATTGGTCATTAAAACATAAACTTTATTTTCAGGATTGCTTTTTTGTGCTGCATCTGTTGTATCTATAAATCCAAAAATCTTGATATTTTCCTCAGAAGTCATTAGTATAAATCCCAATTTGTTATTCTGATCAAGGTGACAAGCTGCCTGGTCCAGGTGATGCAAAACCTACAAATATAATAATGTTTTCGTGCTGGAGTGCAGAGTTTTGCATTGTTCAAAACATATTTATTTTGTAGTGTTTTTTAATATTCTTTCAATAGTATTATTTTATTTGTGCTTTTATTTTTGTTAAAATGGCTTGACTAAACATAATAAAAGTTCCTCCAAATCCGAGGCCATGGTCTTGAGCCAGAAAAGGGTAGAGTGCCCTCTCCGGGTCAGGGAGGAGGTCCTGCCCCAAGTGGAGGAGTTGAAGTATCTTGGGATCTTGTTCACGAATGAGGGAAAAATGGAACATGAGATCGATAGGCGGATAGGTGCAGCGTCTGCAGTGAAGCAGGTGCTGCACAGGTCTGTCGTGGTGAAGAGAGAGCTGAGTCAAAAGGTGAAGCTCTCAATTTACCGATTAATCTACGTTCCTACTCTCATCTATGATCATGAGCTTTGGGTTGTGACCGAAAGAACGAGATCTCGGATACAAGCAACCAAAATGAGTTTTCTCTGCAGGGTGTCTGGACTGTCCCTTAGAGATAGGGTGAGAAGGTCGATCATCCAGGAGGGACTCAGAGTAGAGCCGCTGCTTCTCCACATCAAGAGGAGCCAGTTGAGGTAGTTCAGGCATCTGGTTAGGATGCCTCCTGGACGCCTCCCTGGTGAGGTGTTCCGGACACGTCCCACCGGGAAGAGACCCAGGGGAAGACCCAGGACACGCTGGAGGGACTATGTTTCTCAGCTGGCCTGGAAACGTCTGGAGATTCCCCCAGAGGAGCTGGACCAAGTGGCTGGGGAGAGGGAAGTCTGCGTTTCCCTACTTAAGCTGCTACCCCTGCGACACGACCCTGGATAAGCGGAAGAAAATGGATGGATGGATAAACATAATGCTTCTTTCATACTCAAAAACATTTCTCTACAACCTTCTGTCCACGTGATCTTCAGCAGACTTGATGAAAGTTTTGGTTTTCTCCTTTTCTCAAAGTGATCATCTTTGTTGGTTTAACACTTCTTGCATAAATATCCATGTTCTTAAATTTTCTCAGCATCTCCAATTAGAACTTGAAAATGAATAAGAACATTTTTTTTTTTTTATATACGTATTTTCATCAAGTCGATTGTGTAACGCTCACCCGACCCTGAGGACCATCGACATGTTCCATTTCCGTGGCCCGTCCAACGTTGGTGACCAACTGGTTCTGAAGTCTATTGTTAATAACGCCTTCAAAGACAGGTGGGTGTCCACACAACCAAACCAGTTTCAGTAAATGGCCGTAATGTTCCAATGGACTTTGTGTGTCTTTACAACTTTTACAATTGTATTGTTTTCCAGCATGGAGGTGGGAGTTTGTGCTGAGGCTTATCAGGGTGGAGAACCTCTGCGCCATATAAACAGTGCCTTTATGACTTTTGAGGTGCTGGATAGTGACAAGAAGCCCCGCACATTGCCACGGATACGGCCTGAGCCTGTTGTAAGTTATTCGTGCCACATTCCGGCCGCTCAGATGCATTAGACTGCAGGAAGGGTTATAAAAGGTGCATCGTTTGTGATGTCTTACAGGATGGAAGAAGGCGTTATCAAGAAGCTATCGCCAGGAGGAAAATCCGCCTCGACAGGTTAGTATGACTCTCATTAAATAATCAGGGGTTTGTGCTTCATTGTAAGCTCGGCTCAGTGATTATTTTAAAGACATAAAATGAGGTAATTGCTGGACTTTCCACAATAAAAACTTCCTCTTCAAGATATTTTCTTCAGTTCAATATGCACAGATAGATATTTTAAACACAAAGCACTAAATGTACAACTATAAGACCTAAAAAGTGTATGAAAATGACAAAACAATCACATAATCAATAAGGTAGTGTAAACCATTCAATGTGTTTGAGCAGTGCATTAGTTTTTATGGCTTTGTGTGACTCCATCTATTGTTCAGAGTCATTTGCAGCGATAAAGACCTTGGCAGGACAACATAACACATCTAAATAATCTTGGGTACAGAATAATAAACTCGTTGTTCAGCTGTTAAACACCCTGCCTTCAGTATAATCTTTATTCTTTATTTATTAACCAAATATGTGACATTCCTGCTTGAGTCAGAGTGTTTATACCGGTTTGGTTATTGGGCTTTTGTTTTGTGTCTGAAGAATATCATTGCCATCCTTAACGTTTACAGAAAATATATCTTCTCCTGCAAGCAGACCGAAGTGCCCCTGTCTGTGCCCTGGGATCCAAGTAACCAGGTATTGTTCACTATGAAATAAAAGCTGTTCACATATTCTGCTTAAACTTACGAGTTTAGGCAGGACTTTTTTTTTTTTTTTTTTTAGATGTACCTGAGCTACAACAACGTTTCAGCTCTGAAACTACTGGATACCAGGAGCAACTGGGTCTTAACTTCAGAGAAGAACAAGGTCAGTGTGGTTTGTATTATTATCCAGGATATAGTTATTTAAGTAAGTACAGCTGTTTGGATGTGTTTTTTTTTTTCACATTCTGATAAACATCATCTTTAAATAGATAGTTCAGAACTTTATAAGTGTAGTTCTGTGGAAAGGTTATGAACAATAAATATCTTACCTGTTGTAGATAGCGCTTTAAACTGCATGAGTTTGGAGAAAGTTTAAATCTGAGCAGACAGACAAGCTAACTGCTAATCCGATTGTGGTCAAGACCAAAGTGGATAGCGGACAGATGTGTGCTATTGCTTTTATTGGCATTTCAAGATACCATGGTGATGCAATTTGCAAACAAAGACGCCATTTTTCTCATTGACACTAACTTTAAATCAGCCATTTTTAGAGAGATTAAGCTGACATTTGGTGTGGTGGTATCTGAGAGCAATGCCCCATAAATACTGAATTTAAAAACATTCAAGATGGCTGTTAAAGCTAAATTTAAATGGCTTTAATTCAGCTATTTTTACACATATACAGCTTAAATTTGATGCGATTATAGCTGAGAATGTTTCTCAGTACATACTGAATCCAAGTAAAAAATCCAAGATGGCCACCATAGCTTAAAATAAAAAAAATACTATTAAGTCATTGATTTTTTGCCACATGGAGCTGAAATTTGGTATGATGGTAGCTGAGAGCAAACCCCAACACACAGCACTGTCAAATCGAAAATTTTAAATCGCTGCCATGTGACAGTCCCCGTCAAAGTTTCTACTGTTTAATTAAACTTTTCTCCAAACTGAGGTAATTTCAAGAGATATCTACAACAGGTAAGGTATTAATTGTTTCAAACTTTTCTACAGACCCCTACTTTAAAAGATCTGAACTATCCCTTTAAGTGGAAAATGCTCAGATAAAAAGAGGAGCTGACATTACAAGACATAACGCTTTTTCTAAAAGGTAGAATATTTCTAATCATTTGTGTCGCCTCTAGTTAAAGTGTCAGTTCTTACAATAGCCTGACTTGTTTGTGAACTGTGGTGTTGCATTCACAGGTCAGGCTGTACATACTGGAGGAAAACCACATGCTTTGCATCAAGGTGGAGATGCACATCAGTGTCCCAGCAGAGCAGGCGTTCCTCCTCCTGTCAGACCTGAGGAGGAGGAAAGAGTGGGACCGGCATTATGAGTCAGTACCGTAGACGGGTTTAGAGTCTGGCTTCATGTGACTCAGTTTGTTGTTCATTGAGTGTGACGGCAGCAAGCTCAGTTTTCTCCACACACTTATTCTATGGTAGCATCCAAATGAAACGTAGGTTATTCAAATTACTGGTTTTATACAAAAAATAAAAGGGAACTGAGCTGTAACTTGATTATTTTTGTGACAGCAGCATCAAACCCTGAGAAATCTCAAAGCTTTAAACTATATTTATTTCTCTTGTCGTGTTTCCTCCGCAGGGAGTGCGAGGTGATCAACCAGGCGGATGAGGACGACACCCTTTATCGTGTTGTTACTCCTTCTGTCAGTAAAGGGGGCAAAGGGAAAGATTTCATCTTGTTGGCATCTAAAAGGAAACCTTGTGATTCCAGGTGCTTCACTATCACACGTTACACCTTTTCTGCTTTCAAAATCCATTTAAACATCTTTCATGCAGTTGTTTTGTTTGTATCCATTTTAACGTTTAATTTTACTGTAAATAAAAACACTGAATGCAACAGGTTTACAAATATTTCAACCCTGAATTAGACTTGGGCTGTGTTAAGCTTTTAAGTCACGTCTAATTTTTTTTAAATATATATTTTACATTAAAGTAGCCAGACCTTCCTGTAGCTGTTTTTTCACTCATTTTGTGCCAGTTCTTGTACATGACAGCGTACTGTGCTGTGTATTTTAAAAATGAGGATAGTGGAATATAGAGGACAGAACGAGAAGTGTCAGAACTAAACATTTAAACTCAATTCAGCTTTATTTCGGTAAATTAAAAACATTACACAACAGGAAAACAATATAAAATACTTTTTTTACAAATCAATAATTTACCAAAAAAGGAATAAACTGAAGCCAAGGCTTATACTTGCCTACCCTGTTCATAGACTCAGTAGTCTAGATAATGACAGATATCTACTGTCCATATACATACAGTAAGTACACATGCAGACTTTTGTATTTAAATAGGCATGTTTATACATACACATACTCACATTACATATTACACACATGGTTACACAATACATATATACATCTATATAGCAGCTTTTAGAATTTTACATTTTAAGGCTCTTTTAAAGCTCACCAAAAAGCACATAATTTGAGATCATCATTCAATTCATTCCACAGTTTCACGCCGATAACTGAACTGCATCTGGATTTTACTTTATTTTTCTCTTTAACTTGTTCAAATATTAACAGACCCCGTCGATCATATTTACTCTCTGTTAACTTAAATCATTTCTGAATTCCAGAAGGGAGACTTTTATTCAGTGCTTTATACATTTATTCCAGTATTTTTATATATACAGTGTCATTACATTTTAAAGTATTACTTTGAATAAAAAGTGTATTAGTTGGTTAACATTATCCCTCTTTATTAATAAGTTTAATTGCTTTATTTGTAACTTTACTAATATGTCAATAGTTGTTTTATTTGCATTTCTCCATATTTCTGAGCAATATGACAAGTAGGCCATAACCAAGGAAGAATATATAATATGCAAGCTTTTTACATTTATTAAATTTTTTATTTTAAACAATATTCCAATAGTTTTTGCAATTTTATTTCTAATATATTCAATATGAGGCTTCCAACTAAGTTTGTTGTCCAGAATGATGCCTACAAATTTTGTCTCCCCTGTCGATTTCAACTACATTTATATGTAACTTTACATTATTGTAAATCTGATTAATTCAATTCAATTCAGTTCAATTCAAAATTACTTTATTAATCCCAGAGGGAAATTATATGTTGTGGTAATTCATCATCCTGGTTTCATTAAAGAGTTGTTATAGATGCTGATGGCTGTGGCCAGGAAGGATCTCTTGTAGCGCTCTGTCCTACAACGGATTTGAAGAAGCCTCTGACTGAAGACACTCTGTTGTTGTAGGACAGTCTGATGAAGAGGATGCTGAGGGTTGTCTATAATGTTCTTCATTTTATGAAGAATCCTTCTTTGAACAATCATCTCCAAAGGTTCTAGAGGAGTCCCCAGAACTGAGCCAGCCTTCTTTATGAGCTTGTTGATCTTTTTTAAGTCACTTGCTCTGGTGCTGCTACCCCAGCAGATGATGGCAGAGGAGATGGCGCTCTCTACAACAGACTTATAGAAGATATGCAGCATCTTGCTGCAAACGTTGAAGGACTTCAGCTTCCTCAAGAAGTAAATTACCAGAAAATACCATCAATTTAGTTTTTTTTTTTTTCATTTAAAGATAGCTTATTATAATCAAACCACTTTTATTTAACTCAGCTAGCTCTTTTTCTACTACATTTTTTTTAACTAAACTTTTTCTACTCATATAGCCAAAATAAATGAACATTCTCTAAAAGTCATGACTTTATGAACTTAAAGAAATCCAGACCTGAAACAGGATCAGAGAGGTGCATCATCCTTCAGCTGATTATCTACCAAATGTCAAGCTTTCAGCTGATGGCTCTTTGGGAATCACTTTGCTGGTGCTAAGTTGCTGTGATGTGTGAAGCTGTTATCTGTAGTGTTTTTTTCATTGTTTCATAAATGATAAAGTACTGTATGCTTTTGTGACAGACTGCTGGTAACAAAATGCTTTCCATTTAAAAACAATGTTTTTTTTTGTGTTTTTTTTTTTGTTGATAAGTTGTGAGTTGTGTTTAAATGTGACTCACTCCTTTTTTATAGTTTTGAATCAGTTTTATGCCTGAGTGGTTCCAATAGTTAAGTGGCTCAACAAACAAACAAGACATTCTTCTGAAAGTGCCAGACTGAATAAAATAAAATAAAATCCAAAGAATATATTTGTAAGACTTTCAAAAGCCAGAAGAAACATTGATCCAGAACACTTTACAAGATTATAGCAATTTTTAAATAAATGTGTGTTGACTACTCTGCTAAATTAATACTGAAATATTTTCTAATTTGTAGATTTGATTCATTTCTGTCACCTGCTACAAATATTTGCACACTACAAGAAAAAAAAAGTGAAGGGACACTACAAAAGTGTTTATCAGATAATATTTTATATAACAGTTGATTATTAAATAAAACCATGGCAATTTCACAACTGCATAAATTCCTAAATTCTGACAGTACTGGTAAAACTGGTTCATGCATTTATCATGTCTAGACTGGACTATTGCAGTGGTGTCCAAATACATCTTTAAAAAGTCTTCAGCTGATCCAAAATGCTGCTGCCAGTCTTAACTGGAGTTAGTGGGAGAGATCATATCCCTCCAGTTTTAGCTTCTCTCCATTGGCTCCTTGTCAAATCCAGAATTGAATTCAAAATCTTACTTCTAACCTACAAAGCCCTCAACAACCTAGCTCCATCTTGTATTACAGATCTTATTGTTCCATATTTTTCTAACAGAGCACTTCGCTCTCAGACTGCAGGTTTACTTGTGGTTCCTAGAGTTTCCAAAAGCAGAATGGGAGGAAGATCTTTCAGTTATCAGGCTCCTCTCTTGTGGAACCAACTTCCAGTTTCTGTCCGTGAGGCTGACACATTGTCCAGTTTTAAGACTGGGCTGAAGACTTTCCTTTTTGATAAATCCTATAGTTAGGGTCAGCTTCTAATGCTACTATAGACTTGGACTACAAGAGGACAAATTGACCTCATCTCCTTAAATGATTTGCTAAAATTGAATCATTTTCATTTGATACTATTTCTATCTTAATACGTGGTTCTCGAACTGCCATTGTGTATCTATTCCTCTCAAACACAGCCGGTTGAAGCAGATGAGCACTTGTCCTGAGCCTGGTTTTGCTAAAGGTTTCTTCCTCATGAGGGAGTTTTTCCTTTCTACTGTCGCCTTCATGCTTGCTCAGGATGAGAGTCTGTGATGGAGTTAAATTCAAAGCAGTCCGCTCCTCAGATAAATAATATTAAATTATTATTTTATATATGAATCTTTCTGTTCAGTGCTCTGAGACGACTTCTGTTGTGACTCGGCCGCTATATTAAACTGAACTGAATTGAACTGAGTGGTCTGATTCAAATCAAAGTTCAGTTTTAATATTTTTAAACATGTTGTTTGCATTTAATTTATTGTCCAAACTGTTGGTTTTTTTTTAGTTACATTTTGAGAGGTTTTTAATGAAATGCAGGAATTATGTTTTCTAAAAGTCATTGTTTTATTTAAATTTTATTCATATTATTTTCTGTCTTGGAAAAGGTTGCTGCAGGTTCATAAACTTTATGTTCTTGTTGTTTTTTTGTCTCTCTTAGGGACCCATATCTGATCGCTTTGCGCTCCGTCACTTTGCCCACTCACCCGTCCACAGAGGACTACACCAGGGGAGAGGTGCTCTGTGCAGGCTTCACACTCTTGGAGGAGTCCAGCACCGTCACTAAGGTTAGCCAAACGACGTGTGCTGCATGTTCCGCTGAGCCTCAAACACAAAAACTAAAGTTAAACATCTTATTTTTTTCTTTTTGATTCAGATCACCTACTACAACCAGGCCACACCAGGTGTCCTCCCCTACATCTCCACAGACGTGGCTGGCCTCTCCTCCAGCTTTTACATCACGTTCTCTGCTTGCAGCCAGTTCCTGGAGGCCAACAAGGACAGCCTCGGTGTTCTGTAGATCCCTCTGCAAGAAGGAAAGTCACATCAGGAACATCCTGTCAGTTTCGTCATCGCTGTGGAGGAGGTCCTGGTTTCTACAATAAGTCACATTTCAGTGTCTATCTGAGATGAGCAAGAGTTAGGTTTTTATTTTTTGCAGAAAAATTAAGTTGAAGCAAATGCGCACAAGTAAATGTCTCTGCCTCTTTATTACAGCTAATACATTAAAGAAACATTTCTATTTAATTCTGATTGACAGAGAAGTAATTATTTAAATCTGCAGCATGACTTGTTTTAATTTTGACAGCCATCAGTTGGTCAGCTGTGCCAGTGTGAGATTTTCAAGCTGCCTTAAGAGGAGGTGTTGCAAACTTTTTGCCATAAATTTTATTTTGCACCATTACCTTGATCAGTTTTATTGCATGTTAAATTCAATAATAGGAAGTCTACATGTACATGTGGTGTATAAAAGTCCCCTTTTTTTAAAGATAAATGTGCAGAGCTTTGCAGAGCTCAAACTGATTTTATAGTATTTTTACACAACATGACAGACTGTAATGATATATTTTAAAGAATAAACAGGTGTTTTTTGGATTATGTTCATGTCAGCTGTTGTTTTTGTTCAGTCTTGCACCTTTACCAAACACTTATTATTGCTTAAACATTTTCATGATGGGGGATAAAAGCCTGACAGTTTTCTTCCACTTATCTTGTGACGTTAGTGCTCAGTTGCACATAAAGGAGTCTTGAGGAAAATGGTGAACACTGAGACATTTTTCATTAGCAAAGTGTGGTTTGATTACTTGCTCAGTCCGTTTTTTTCAGGTCTTGTAGTTAATAAAAAATAGCTTTATACTAAAACTGTTTACTAAAATGCAACAAGAGAGTGAATCCACCTGCTTATAAAAAATGTTGTAATCAATACATTCTGAATACTAAATGAAAGAAGTTTCAGAAAATAAGTCGGTTCAAAATATCCCAAGATAAATGTGTAGATCAACCAGCAAAAACAACCCTAAAAGAAACTTTTTGATTTGTCTGCAGGTCTTCATTATCTCACTGCTGCCTCGAATCTGCTTACTTTATATTTGGCATCAAAATGTAGACCATTAAAAATATGAATATAAAAACGGTAATTTGTTAACGTTGATCAGATTTCTTCTGCAGGAGAGTGTTACTTTTCTGGTATATCAGGATCCTTCTTCCTGTTAAATACTTTTTCATATGAATTCATCCTGCACCTTGTTTGTCTATATTTCTCTTGGATCTTGTAAATATTATATTTATTTTACATGTTACCCTTATTGTTGCATGCTTTAGTATTTTTTTTATTTTTATTTATTATTATTTTTTAGCTAAGTTGAATCGGTTCTTCTCATCCTCAACGTTTTTTTTCATTGTTGACTTTGTGTTAACCTGCATGTGACAAATAACATAAGATCCTCCAGGAGCTCTCTCATTGGACCACATTGGATCACGTGACCAACCCGGAAGTAGACACCCTTCTGAAACAGTAACAGCTTCTGCGCTAAAAACTCCGCATCTAGCACAATAACAAATTTACATTTAATAAATATTTATAGTTCCATCATGAATCAAGACTGTAGCAAGAAGCTACAAACTGCAACAAGAGAAAAACTCAGGAAACTAAACTTTCTGCGCGGTGAGTTTTATACTTCATACATTAAATAGGAATGTTTTTTTTTTTCCAGTTCAGTGCAAAACATAAAAAAAAAGACAACCTTTTTTGTTTTCCTAAAGGTCGAGAGGTTCATTCGGGTGAGTTTTGGGATGTAGTGGTCGTGACAGCCCTCGACAGGAGCCAGAAAGAAGCGTATGAGCTGCAAATCAGTGAGAAAGTGGACCAGAAGGAGCTCCCCCTAACTCACTACAAAGTCTTCTCAGATCCTCCTGGGTCCAAAATAGGTCTGAGAACCAACCAGTCAGCCGTACATGAAAGTATTATGAATTAAACTTATGTTTTTACGTATTTGATTGTTTGTTAAGGGAATGGAGGCTCCTCTCTGTATGCTCTGCAGCAGCTGGAAGACATTTATGGCCAAACTCTGAGAGGACTGAGAGTCATCCTCATCCATGCAGGTGAGCTCCTTTGTTTTGTTTTTATTTTGTTGATCTCTTATGTCTTAGTGTTGGTTATTAAACACAGACAAAAACCAATTTATGTTAGTGTGGCTGGACATATTTTATTATTGTTTTAAATAATTACTCCAAAATATTTTCCCGATTAAGATGCTCTGTCTACAAATACTAGAATTAGGCTGAAGTGCTCATTGTTACTTTCACATCTGGGATATTTTTGCTTTACACTTAACCCAAACTGTTTTGCTTATAGATAAATATGTTTATTCGGAGTAAATACTTGTTGTTTTCATGTTAATGTAGCAAAAGAGTTTTGCGTTAGACATTGTTTAACCAACCCTGGTCTTTGAGGAATTATAAAACTGTGCTATCTTTCTCTTTAATGATGGTCGTGTGTCTTCAAGGTTAAACAAGATATCAAAGGAAGCTCCAAAGCTAAGTTTTATAGCTTTTAGAGTTTGACCACTTCTGGTTGATGTGTGCAAAATAAAACGATTCAATCGGACCTCTTTACCTATTCATTTTGCTCGAGTTTAGAGTCAGAGTCAGAGTTTCTTTATTGTCATTCGCACCTCATGTGGTACATGTGGTGGAGCGAAATTATGTACACAAGGTCCCAGTTACATCCAACAATAAAATGTATAAGAAAAATAGTAATAACATCTAAGATATGAACTAAGAAAAACATCAACTAAATATACACTAAGCACTCATAACATAAAAACATTGAACATCAGCACGAACATGAACATGAGTCTGTGAGCAGATGTGCACGCATGAACACATCAACATTGAAACAGATCAGCAGCAACATGAAACAGATCAGCAGCAACATGATATGGTTTTTCACAGTGATTATTCCTCAGATGGCTGAGGCGAGCTGGTCTGGGAAGCTCAGTCCTCACCTCCTTCTACAGGTGTGCAGTGGAGAGCATCCTGTGCTCGAGCATCAATGTGTGGCATGGAGGCTGCTCAGCTGCAGAAAGAAAAGCTTTGCAGAGAGTGGTGAAGGCTGCACAGAAATCTGTCGGAATCAGCCTCCCCACCATCACACACATCTACACCTCCAGATGCAGGAAGAGGGCCACCTGCATCATGAAGGACCCCACTCACCCAGCACACACACTTTTTGCCCCACTCCCCTCAGGAAGGAGGTTAAGGAGCATTAAGTGTAGAACCACTAGACTGAGGAACAGCTTCTACCCTGAGGCTGTTAGACTCATGAATCTCTAACTAGAAGTAGAGTCTCTGATGAGCTTTCTTGATCAGGCTGGTGGTGTTGTTGCTCCAGCTGAGGTTGTCATTCATGTGTACACCCAAGTACTTGTAGCTGGAGACCACTTCCACCGCAGATCCTCTTATGTTCAGGGGGGTGTAGATGTTTTTGTTCCTTCTGAAGTTCACAATCGTCTCCTTTGTCTTCTTCACATTGATGTGAAGGTTATTCTCTTTGCACCAGCTCTCCGGGTGTTCCACCTCTTGCCTGTAGCTGGACTCATCATTGTTTGTGATGCATCCCACCACGCTGTATCATCTGCTAACTTTACAATGTGACAGCCTGGATGGGTAGCTGCACAATCATACGTGAGCAGAGTAAACAGGAGGGGGCTCAACACACATCCCTGAGGAGAGCCAGTGCTGAGGGTTATGGTGGAGGAGGAGAGGTTGTGGATCCTCACTAACTGTGGTCTGTTTGTTAAAAAGTCTAGTACCCAGTTGCAGATGGAGGGGCTTAGTCCTAGTGTGGATAGTTTGTCCATCAGGGTTTGGGGGATCATGGTGTTGAAGGCGGATGTGAAGTCCACAAAGAGCATACGGACGTAAGAGTTTTTCTGCTCCAGGTGGTTGAGCGCAGTGTGGACCACAGAGGAGATGGCATCCTCTGTTGATCGATTCTCACGTTATGCGTACTGATGAGGGTCCTCGTTGATGTTGATGGTTGTTTTGATGCGAGTCATGACCAGTTTTTCAAAGCATTTAGCGACTATCGGGGTGAGGGCCACTGGCCGATAGTCATTCAGACCAGTCACTGTAGAGCTTTTTGGGACTGGGATGATGGTGGCAGTCTTCAGGCAGGTGGGAACTGTCTCCAGGGTAAGTGAGGTGTTAAAGATGTCTGCCAGCACCTCACAGAGCTGATCAGCACATTCCTTCAACACTTTTCCAGGGATGTTGTCTGGGCCAGTTGCTTTGTGCGGATTAATCCTCCTGAAGGTACTCCTTACTTCTGCTGAGGTCACGCTGAGATGCTCTTCATCCGGTGGTGAGGTGAGTCTGGTGCTGGGTGGTCTGTTCGGGTCTTCAAAGCGTGCATAGAACTTGATGAGGGCATCAGGCAGAGATGGGTCTTTGGGGCATTGTTCACTCCTTCCTTTATAATCTGTTATGCACTTAATGCCCCTCCACATGCTCCGAGGGTCTTGTGAGATGAATTGACCCTCGATCCTCTTTGCATATGTGGCCTTGGCCCTCTTAATACCAGCAACCAGCTCTTTTCTTGTCCTACTCAGCTCCTCTGAGTTTCCAGACCTGAAGGCAGTGTTCCTGGCTTCCAGCAGGGTACGCACCTCTGCATTCAGCCAAGGTTTTCTGTTTGGGTAGCTTTTAACATTTCTGATAGTGGAGACTGTGTCAGTACATGTACTAATGTAACCCAGTACTGAGGATGTGTATTGGTCAAGATCAAGCGAACCTCCATTTTCAGCAGCTTCTCTGAAAACCTGCCAGTCTGTTCGATCAAAACAGTCTCTCAGTATGGGGCCACTGTCCTGGATCCAGCATTTAACTTCCTTTTGTACCAGTCTGGAGCGTCTCAGCGGGGGCATGTAAGCAGGAGCCAGGAAGATTGAGATGTGGTCTGACAGTCCTAGGTGGGGGCGGGGTTCGGCTTTGTATGCATCTTTTACGTTCGTGTAAACACGGTCCAGCGTGTGGTCTCCACGTGTCGGAGTTTACTGAAGCAAAAGGAAACAGCTGATTAAAAAAAAAAAAAGAAATAATTGTTGAAACCATTTCATTGTAACATTTTCATAAAAAATGTGATAACGACAGAATCATGAATCCTAACTTCAGATGTTGTACATTTCTCACTGCCTTCTCTTGTGTCCAGGTGGGTTCAGCCAGCGTCTGCCCAATGCTAGCACACTGGGGAAGATCTTCATGGCTTTGCCGCTGGGTGAACCCATCTACCAGATGTTGGAGCTCAAGCTGGCCATGTACGTGGATTTCCCATCACAGATGAAGCCTGGCGTCCTGGTGACCTGTGCGGACGACATAGAGCTCTATAGTATAGGTGAGGAAGAGAGGATTATGTTTGATAAACCTGGCATTACAGCTTTAGCTCACCCCTCCTCTCTTTCTGTGGGAACAACCCATGGGGTGTTTGTGTTGGATCTACATCAAAGCTCCTCTTACCCAGAAATGGAGAACGCTTCCTGTCTGCATTTTCTGCACAAGCCGAGCATCGATAAGATGAGAGACAGCGGAGCTATTTGTAAGAAGCGGAGTGGACTGCTTTTTGTGTCTGATAATGAATTTGTTTACACGGACAGCACCTATTATGTTGACTTTGATACCACCAAGTCTCTTCTGAACCTGCTGCATGAGCTGGGGCCTCTGAGTTGTGAGATTGATGCATATGGGGACTTCCTTCAAGCTTTAGGCCCTAAAGCCACAATGGAATACACAAACAACACAGCTAATGTCACCAAAGAGGAGCGCAGTCTGGTTAAAGTCCGCCAGAAGATTTTCCATCTTCTCAAGGGGACCCCCCTGAATGTCATCCTGCTGAATAACTCCAAGTTTTATCACATCGGGACCACCTTGGAGTACCTGTTTCACCTGACTGAAGACGAGGTGCTGAGGAGCGAGCTGGGTCTCCTGTCATCCACCTTCAGCCTGAGTGTGAATGAAAACCTTTCAGGCTGCTGCGTCATGTACAGCATCCTTCATCCCAGCTGCTCTCTGGGAGCCGGATCAGTGGTGGAGTACTCTAGACTGGAAGCGGGGGTGACTGTAGGAGGGGGCTCCATCATCAGCAGCTGCTGGATCGGTCCAGGACAGTCTGTGCCAGCTAGAGCCTTCATGCACTCCCTATGTGTGAACCACTGTGAAAAAAACAGGTTTGTCACAGTCTTCTTTGGGATTAAGGACAACATGAAGCACAGCGTGGATGCTCCAGCATCTATGGAGGAGCTGAAGATTTTTGGGTTCAGCTTGTCAAAGTGTTTGTCTCACTGGGGATTGGAGGAGGAATCACTGAAGTTCTCCACAGACAGCTGTAGCTTGTGGAACGCTTGTTTGTTTCCTGTTTGTTCTGACCAGCAAAGCTCCTTCTCGTTGTCGCTGACGATGCTGCAGGCCATCCTGAGGGGCTCCACCAGCCCCCTACCTAAAGACGTACTGTTAATGTCAATGCAGGACTGTTTACAACAAAAAAATCTGAAGGAAATGTTGAAGCTAAGGAAGGGACTGCATGATGACATCACTCAGAGAAAAGGGAGCCAATAAAACAACCATGTTTGCAGATAATTACGTTGTCTTTTGTAGACCAAATAACAGGATTTGATCTAAAATAATTGGCACTTCATATAAAAAGTTATTTATAAGTTTGGCTTCTATCAGCAAACTTTAATATAACTGCTCGAAAAATTCACATTTTTCCCACAATTCTTTCTTTTTATTTGATATGCTAATGTAAATTTTCTTGATCTAATTTTGATCTTTAAAAAAATTGGTTGCATTATTTGTTCAAAAAAGCTGTACTAGGGATGCACCGATCCACTATTTTTTTAAACTTCTGATCTGGTCCCGATACCTAAATCTGGATATCTGTCGATACCGATACTATTTCAGTACGTTCCGATATCATTGTTATTGATTTTATATGAGGCTAATAAACTCCTCTACAGGCAAGTATGATTTTTACAAATATATGCATGCATATCCAAAAAAGCAACTTGAGTTAAGTATAAGGTTAGAAAAACAGGAAACCGTGGTAACAGGATAAATCCAATGCTGAAAACAAATGTGCAACTGTAAGGGTTTCAGATTGACTGTCAGTATTTATTAAATCCAGGACAGATAACTATCAAGGGTAAACTTCTGTAACAACTATACTCTATAAATAAAATACAAAAGGAGCAACAAATCAAGGTTTTCAAATGTCATTTTTTTTAAATAAAAGTGCATTAAATGTAAACCTATTACACATATACACTATCAATAAAACAGTGTACATCTGAACATCACCAACTAAGTATACTGGCTCCGGTAGCAGCAACAAATTAAAGGTTTCAAATATAAAATATTTGAAATAAAAGTGCAACATCTGTAAACATCAATAGAGCAGTGCACACCTGGACAACACAAACCAAAGAACAGTAGGAGGTTTGGCACGATAAACTTTCTATACGCTGCTGCGAGAAGTGAACTCCTGTTGAAATCTGCACGTGTCAAGTTTGTTTAGTCTTTTTCAAAGCTCCCCATCTGAATTACTAGAATTTCTGTGATTGGTCTGAAGAAACAAAGTCTGTTATTTATTTTCACCTCAGAGTTTAGCTGTGGTCCTCTGAGAGCTGCTAACTGGAGTGTGTTTAACCAGAATCTGAGCCAGAAGCTGGAGAGACATCATGATTTCATGCAGTGAATATAAACCAGGGTTTGACTCAGCTATTGTCCTGTGGCCAGTAAACAAACAAACAAACAAACAAACAGCCTCTGTGATAAGTTCCCTAAGAAGCTGGGGATTCTTAAAAGTCACTGACGTCACACTACAAGATAGCAGAGAGATGTGCTGCTTACCTCAGTTTAACAGCTGCAGATAAATAAGCATGGTTCTTCCTGGTCATGCTACCTGCTCCTTTAAAATGTCTTTATTGATTTGCTTTTATTTACTATTTGCAACGTAAAATGCATTTTGCCATGTTAAGGTTAAAACGACTCGTTTGATAAGAGAAATGTGTAGCTGTCTGTCTTCTCCCTCCATCCACATTGGCAGCACCACAGCTCAGTGGTTAGCACTGTTACCTCACAGCAAGAAGGTCCTGGGTTCAATCCCCGGTTGGACTTGGGGTCTTTCTGTGTTGAGTTTGCATGCTCTTTTCGTACTTGCATGGGTTTTCTCCGGGTACTCCGGTTTCCTCCCACAGAACAAAAACATGCATGTTAGGCCGCCTTCAGGCCTCCCTTGCAAAAGAGATCTGTGATCTCAGTGGGATTTGCCTGGTTAAATAAAGGTTAATAAATAAATCTTCTGTCAGATGGATGAGTTTGTGTTCTGCGAGTGTTGATGATTGAAAAAAAAAAAAAGTGATACCGTAATTATTTACTCCATTTTGTGTGGATGTTTGACTCTTTAACTTTTGAAGACAAACATTTGACAACATGAACAACTTGCATGTTAGTTGCGCACTGGAGGAAATAAAGAATGCAAAATTTAAATAAAGACACATTCAAATACTCTTAAACTGTCTTTTAAATGTGTACAGTTTTTGTGAGGTTTTGCAGCATCTGAACAAAAAAAAGTTTTATTTAAAATCTAAAGAAGCTCAATATAGTTTGAACTTGTTTTTTTCTGTTAAAATTCAAAGTCGAGGGCCGAGATGGAGTGGAGGCAGGACAGCCGACTCAGGAGCCAAAAGCCCCACGTTCAATCCCCAGCCATGCCCACGTGTCGCTGCGTCTCTGAACAAGACACCTAATCCCTAATTACTCCCTGGGTGCTTACATAGCTGCCCACTGCTCCACCTGGTTGTATCCCTGGTGCAATGGGTTAAATGCTAAGACTCATTTCATCATTGTATGGGAACATACAACGATGACAACACTTATTATTATTAAGTCATGACAATAAAAAGGGCAACATAGTTTTCAGACATGCAGATTTCTCTGTAAACTTTCTCCACTCAGATCTTTGTTACGCTCTGAGCCGGGGCAGGACTCTGATCATCTGTTTCACACAGTAGAGGCAGATCGGCTGTCTGTTGCGTTCCACTCAGAGGGGTTTATTTTTAGCACACAGCCATGAGCCCGTTTTATCTTGGCCCGTTCAATTGTGTCTGAGTGTGAGATTGTATTCCTGTCAGACTCACCAAACACAGAAGGAAAAAAGAGAGGAGGAACCCTTCAATGGGAAATTACAAATCAAGACCATCTCAGACCTGCACAGGTAAGAGCTTAGAGGGTTTTCAAATGTTTTATTCTCCACAGGACTGAGAAGAATGGAAAAAAAATGAACAGCTGACAATCACCTGACCTGTTACACTGAGAAATGTGAAGTTTTGTTTTGGTTCTGGTTGTGTGGATGTGAAGATGAGTGGAAGAAGAAGGTGGGCGAGTCGTACACCGTGATCAGTGAGAAGCTGGAGGACGACTTCCAGCTGCCAGAAAGTGCGTTGGCCGACCTTAACCTGGCTTTCAGGTGACAAATTTAAATTCTTTTCAAAGGATGTTCATTTCATACGAGACATTATTTAAACCACCTGTGTGGAGATTCTGTCTAGTTGAATAACTTTTCTGTCTCAGTGAATTTCATGTGTAATTGAGATGTTTTTGTGGATTTAGTTCAGATGAAGCTTTTCAGAAGGTGAATGTGAACTACCGAACAGAGAAGGGTCTGTCGCTGCTGCACCTCTGCTGCGTGTGTGGAGGTATGCACGAGTCTATTAATAACTCCTCTGCAAAATGTGACCGTGGAGGGGAGGCTTACTGTGGCTCTGACTGACATCATTGTTTGGAAATGACCTTTCTGGTGTCTGCAGAACAAAAAGTTAACAGAGGTGGTAGTAAACTTTGAGTGAAGGTTTTAAAACATTTGCTGCAGGTTGTTTCCCTTCCTTCTTTTAAGTTGTCTCATTATGAGTGAGCTGTTCTGTTATTATGATGTCACCTGTTTGTATTCAGGCGACAAGGAGCATTTGCACACACTGATACTAAAGGGCCTCCGTCCTTCTAGACTGAGCAGAAATGGGTTCACTGCGCTCCACCTGGCTGCTTATAAGGTGAAACAAACAGGATCAGCATGTTTCTGCTGTGATGTTATCTGATTGAGAGCTCTTTAAAGTTTTAGCACCTGGTGGAGTGTGAGCGTGCACAAAAACCCATGAGGCTGCTTCATCAGGACATGTTAGACTTTTGCTTTGGAAGATGTGCTTTATCTGTTGTGTTTCTGGGCCACAGGACAACGCAGAGCTGCTCACTGCCCTCCTCCACGGGGGGTCAGATGTGCAGCAAGTGGGATATGGGGCTCTCACGGCCCTCCATGTTGCCACTTTGGCTGGGCATCAAGAGGTGAGAGAAAATAAATGTCTTCCTCAGACGGTTTCATTTTGTACGTTGATGTTGGGTCATTTCTGCCCATTCTAGGCTGCAGATATCCTCCTGCAACATGGAGCTTATGTCAACGTTCAGGATGCTTTGTTTTTCACCCCTCTGCATATCGCCTCCTACTATGGCCACGAGCAGGTAATTGTTTTTAACAGTTTGCTTTTAATTACTTCAAAAGAGGCGGTATGCAATAAATGAACACGTAGTTCAGTTCACTTTGAAAATGTGCTGGATTTTTTTAAATGTATCTCTGTGCTTTCGGTGGAAGCAGACATGTCCTCTCCTGCTCCGTCCCCCCACTTCCCAGCTTTGCTTTCTTGTCTTGTGAGCCCTTTAAAGGGCCCCCCCACCCCCGCATACCTTCCTAATTTAATTGATTTGATCAGCTGGTCTCTCAACAAAATTGATCAACTTCTCCCGACAGGAAGTCAGGGTGAATGGAGAACCCTCTTACCTCGACTGAAACAATATTGAATTCATGATGACAACTGGATTCTGCTGTTTGTGTTGGTGAAATCTGGATTGTCTACAAATTTATGTGGATGTTTTGAAGCTTGGCAGCACTCAGACTGAATTATGTGGAGCTGCGTCAGAGCTGGAGCAGGCTGATATCAGGACTGTGAACTTCCTGGCAGCACCCATGAACGGTTGGGAATAATCTTGGGAGAAGCTGTAAGCTCGACTTTCGGCGTAAATAATCAATTTGGCTGTTTAGAGTCACCATCAGAGAAATGTACTAGCGAGACTTTAAAAGACAGAAACATCAATTTACGAGTTCTGCCTGACCCAAACTGTGGATGTGGGCCTGGCCTTGAAGGTGGACTATCTCAACTCCTCCTGGGATGTTATGAAAACAAAGATGCTTTGTCTGTCTCCCCACCCGTCCCTCCCCAAGCCCGTGGACATGTGACAGGACCTCAACCGAGCTGATGATAACAAACTCCTCCTATGATATGACCTTCCCTTAAAACTCAATGTCTTCACCGGCCTCATATGTAATATGTCTATTTATGTTGCTGTGGTAGATTTTTTTGATGCCTCAAACCGTGCCCTGTCCAGGACATGGTGTGAGGGATATTATTTTTTATACCTTCTCTCCTCATGTTTTCTTCCCCTTTTCTCATCTAAGCCTAAAAGTATTCTGAAAAGAATAAGAGGCCGCGCTCTTAAAGAGCAGCAACAACGTGCACTCCGCCCATCTTTCAGACGACTGTACGGACATACTCTCGTTGTATCTCGGTACAATGATAATAAAGCTTATTCTGATTCTGATTTAGCCATACAGGCTGATTTTTATCCAGTCTTTAGCAGGCTGATGGTGTACAAGTTAAAGAATAAATTACAAACATATATTTAAAAAAACACTGTTAATAAAGTAACTGTATGATCTTGGATGAAACATAAGACAAAAAACATCAGTCACTACTCTAAGTAAGATGGCAAATTTATATAATTATGAACTACTATAGTGAATATTTAGAGAACAACTGGTAATCTGCAGATCATTAATTTTATTATTCAAGTTTATTTAATCAAGACAGCACAATGTTACATGATAAAAACAAAGCAACCGTTGTTTTCTAGCCACAGGCTAATTTGCAAACCCAGTCCTTGGTTGGACTTTTTTAAAAGCAACTAAAATAGAATTAAAATTAAATTAGAATTAAACAGATTCCTGTTTGTTGTCTGCATGTTGAAATAAAATCGTATCATCAAGTTGTACTAGGTGGACAAACATGAAGAAAGTCCTAAAAGAACCATTTAAGAAACTTGACCATTGGTGTGAACACACATTTCTCTCAGACTAAACCATCTTGTAAAAATAAACTTGATCGAATGGTGTAAGATGAAGTGAAAAAACACTTTTTTTTGTTGCCGTCTACCTCCCAGGTGGCGAAGCTTCTGTTGAAGTTTGGAGCAGACGTGAACGCGAGCGGTGAGGTGGGTGACCGACCGCTGCACCTGGCTGCAGCCAAAGGTTTTCTTCCTATCATCAAACTGCTGCTGGAAGACGAGAGCAGAGCCAATGGTGAGACCCAAGAATCCAAGCTTGTTTAATTTCTTCCACAATCTATCTTCATTGTAGCTGTTACGACATACGAGGTTAAGTAGTCTGTCAGAACTTCCTGCAGAAGCCATCAGCGGGTTAACTAATGATGACCACTGGCTCATATGTTATGCTTCTTCCAATGTTTGCATTCATTTCACCAGTAAATGCCCAAGACAACGAAGATCACGTTCCAATGCACTTCTGCGCTCGTTTTGGTCACCATGAGATAGTTCAGTTTCTCCTCCAAGGAAACCTGGACGTTCAGCCTCATTCTGTCAACATCTACGGGGACACACCATTACACCTGTAAATATAGTCTCAGTTGTCTCTTTCATAAGTTCTGTTGGATGACTACATGTAAACGTTGTTCAATCAGGGCCTGCTATAATGGCAAATTTGCTGCAGCCAAGGAGATAATCCAGCTGTCTGGATCAGAAAGTCTTTCGAAGGAGAACATATTCAGTGAGACGGCACTTCACAGGTACATAAACACTGCTGCTGTACAAAAAGTCTCTGGAGGTGTATCTACTGAAACTGATGTGTTGAAGAGTTTATTTTTGACGTTGCAGTGCATGCACCTATGGTAAAGACATAGAAATGGTCAAATTCTTGCTGAGCCAGAACGCCATGAGCATCAACCATCAAGGCAGAGACGGACACACAGGTGCTTTAACGTGACCATGTTTACGTGTGCAGCTAAATCTACAGTAAGTTAATGCTTGTTTTAGCTCTCCATAGCGCGTGTTTCCACGGTCACATCCGCCTGGTGCAGTTCCTGCTGGACAGTGGAGCAGACATGAACCTTGTTGCCTGCGACCCGAGTAGATCCAGCGGGGAGAAGGAGGAGCAGACGTGCTTGATGTGGGCGTATGAGAAAGGTGCGACCTGGTACCAATGGGAGCAAGCAAGGCTGTTCTTAAAGCTCACCCAGAGCCCAGTTCTCACTGTGTGTTTCCCAGGTCACGATGTCATTGTCACTTTGCTGAAACACTACAAGCGCTCAGATGATTCTCCGTGCAATGAATACTCTCAGCCAGGAGGGGGTGAGTCAGCACCTGAGAAATTACCGCCTTTTTAAAAACCGAATAATCTCCCTCTAAAATGCTTAAATATATTTCTTTCAGACGGGTCCTATGTATCCGTTCCATCTCCTCTTGGAAAGATCAAAAGCATGACTAAAGGTAGTGAGGTCGACTGAAAGCATCAGATTCCCCACATCGCTGTCAGCTGACATGTCTGCACACACTGTGCCTGTTGCCAAGGGATGGGTTTGGATGCTCATCAAACTTTGTGCTGCTGTTTTTTTTCCTAAAGGAACTGGTTCCTGTGTGAATTATAGATCACTCCCTACCTTATTATTCAAATAAATAAAACTAAATATATACAGCTGCAGTCAGAAGTTTACAACCACCCATCACGGCCATGAATGTTGAATTCATTAGGCTTCTTTTGACTTATTTAGACTATTTCCAAGATGGGTCAACTTCAATGATTTTAAACAACAAAAACAGGGTTCTGTCTGGATTCAATCTGGTTTAACTCTAATACACACAGGGTCAAAATTATACATACATACATTATATCAACATACAGCGTTATAGCGACTACAGGGGAATTAGGATGATGAGTCACACAATGAAGATCTGTGAGAGAATTGTGGAAGCAAGACTTAGACAAGAGGTGACTGTGAGCAGCAGTATGGTTTCATGCCAAGAAAGAGCACCACAGATGCCATTTTTGCTTTGAGAATGCTGATGGAGAAGTACAGAGAGGGTCAGGAAGAACTCCAATGTGTCTTTGTGAATGTAGAAAAAGCATATGACGGTGCTGAGGGAGGAGGTGTGGTATTGCATGAGGAAATCTGGAGTGGCAGAGACGTATGTTAGACTGGTACAGGGTATGTACGAGGACAGCAGGACAGTGGTGAGATCTGCTGCAGGAGTGACAGATAGCTTCAAGATGGAGGTGGGAGTGCATCGAGCATCAGCTCTGAGCCCCATCTGTTTTCTCTGGTGATGGATCGAGTAACAGATGAGGTCAGGCAGGAATCCCCATGGACTATAATGTTTGCAGATGACATGATCTGTGGTGAGAACAGGAAAGAAAACTTGGAGAGGTGGAGGTATGCACTTGAAAGAAGAGGAATGAAAGTCAGCTGTAGTAAGACAGAGTTCATGTATGTGAATTAGAGGGAGGTTGGTGGAACAGTGAGGCTACAAAGAGCAGAGGTCACAAAGGTGCAGGACTTCAAGAACTTGGGGTCCACTGTCCAGGAAAATGGTTAGTGTGGTAAAGAGGTGAAAAAGAGAGTCCAGGCAGGATGGAGTGGATAGAGAAAAGTTTCAGGAGTGATTTGTGACAAAAGGGTGTCAGCAAAGTTCAAAGGAAAAGGCTACAAGACAGTGGTGAGACCAGCTATATTGTATGGTCTGGAGGCAGTGGCATTGACAGAAAGACAGAAGAAACAACTGGAAGTGGCAGAAATGAAGATGTTGAGGTTCTCCTTAGGAGTGATAAGGATGGATAAGATTAGGAATGAGATCATCAGAGGTACAGCACAGGTTGAACAACTGGGAGATAAAGTTAGAGAGGCCAGACTGAGATGGTTTGGACATGTCCAGAGGAAGGACAGTGGGTATACTGGTAGAAGCATGTTAGAAATGCAGCTGTCAGGAAAAAGACAGAGGAGATACATGGATGCAGTTAGAGAGGACATGGACGTAGTTGGAGTGAGGACAGAGTGAGATGGAGGAGGATGATTTTCTGTGGCGACCCCCGAACAGGGAAAAGCTGATAGAAGACGTCAAAATGATACATATTGTACATATAATCACCTATTTTTAATATGTTGTGCTAAAGTTTCTAGATGCTGGCGAAGATTCTCAGTCATCCAGGACATGGTAAATTCAAAAAAGTTCAAGACAAAAACAACTGTACTTTATTTGTAACAGAAGACGTTTCGCTTCTCATCCAAGGAGCTTTCTCAATTCAAAGAGCAGCACTCTCTGCTCTTTGAATTGAGAAAGCTCCTCGGATGAGGAGCGA